AACAGAATTGATTACTTAATTAATGCACTTTAACGCCTTGTGTGTGCAACTATAAAACAAGGTTTTCCTTGTGCGTGCAACTAAAAAAAAAACATGAGAGGAGCTCTCTTCTCTCTCCTCACAACCTGCTGTGTAGTGGGTCATCTGCTCTTAGCAGCAGCCTCCGCGCTACTTGAGGTTAGTCTGAAGAACCAAAAATCGAAAAAGGGACGTGAAACGGAATGCAGACGAGGATGGTTGAGTCTACGTATCCCTCCCGCGTTCAAAAATTTCTTGTTTATGGCGGTAGGGTTACACCCGATCTTTAAACACATTCCTGTAAATGAAATTCAAAGAGATTGTTTTGATACTTGGGTGCAATCACAACGACGATCCAGTAATATGATCAAGAAACGGAAGTTCGGCCTTGTCTAGACAGAGGGTGTTGTGACACCTGAGAAAATTCCCAAATAATGTCGTGTTTCGCTTTTGAAGGAATAGCGTTTTAAGCTACCTTCTTCGGCAGAAGTTGAAACCGATGAGAACCAAATAACTATGTCGTCTGCGGCATAAGTTGAAATCGACAAAAAACCAAACTACCCTGCCATCGGCCTTCGTGGGTGAAAATAACCCCTAGCGTAACAAAGTGGCGAGAGGTTAGATGAATACGGATCCATATCAACTCCTCCCCAAGTCCAACTGCTGTTGAACAGAAGTTAGACGAATACAGATGAAACATGATGGATCCTGGTATAGGAGGGAGGAAAAGGGCTCTGGAGGAAATGGATGGGGAAATCGACGAAGTTCCTACGCCTAAGAAACAATTTGTGGAAGACAAAGATGGTAATAATGATAAGGTGGAGGAAGCTAGTCTGAAATGGCTCCAGTCGGATAAATGAGGCTACTTGCTGGAATTGGACCATCCCTCTCATTCCAAACAATTGTTGGGTTAGTTCATTCCAATAAACCGGACCTTGTTTTCTTTTTGGAAACAAGATCGTGCCGAAGATTCGTTTTCCGTCGTAAGCGGGGATTAGGTTTTGATTTTTCACATTATTTCTTTGTGGATGCTATTAATGCATCAAGTGGTCTTGTAGTAGCTTGGTCCACCAGAGTTGATGCTTTGGTTTTTTTTTCCATCCCAACTTCTGCATTTGTACTCAAATTAATGAAGTGAATTTTTCGTACATTGTGGTTTGTGTTTACATTAGTTGCGTTGAGTCAATAAGAGTTTCGCAATTGGCTCAACTTCAAGAAATTTGTGATGGCTTCAATCTACCTTACGTGGTTCTTGGGGATTTCAATGTGACTCTCCATGAGAATGAAAAATATGACGGAAGTCTTTGGAATGTTGCCCATGCCAGTGAACTCCAAAACTTTGTCCATAACTTAGGCCTCCATGACCCAGGATTTCAAGGTGACCAATTCTCTTGGACAAATAAACGTATGTGTGCGGCTTGTATCTGGGAACGAATAGATAGGGCTCTTTTCTCACAAAAGTGGATTAATCTATTCTCAATACCCTTGTCAAACATTTCACAGATCAGGGATCTGACCATCGAGCTCTGCTCTTATTAGATAAACCCTATATCCGTAATTCTCGACCTCTGCTCCGATTTGATGCTAGTTGGGCGGATAATTCAGAGGTTAGGGATATGGTCACTTATGTTTGATAGGAGGAAGTCTAGGGAACTCTTATGTATCGGTTATGGGAGAGACTTAAGAAACTCCGCCATTTGCTCTATGATTGGAGCAGGGCGGGTGCTACAAATTGTCTTCGTAATATCAAAATCCTCTAGGAGGAAATAAACCAGATCAAGTTAATTCATCTGATTGATTGGGATGAGGTGAGGGTTTTGGAGATGGAGTTGAATAGGCAATGGGAGGCTGAGGAGGTCTACTGGCAACAAAAATCGAGAGTTCGTGGGCTTAAAAAGGGCGACAAAAATACGTCTTACTTTCATATGGTTACAAGGGCACGCAGAAAACAAAATTTTGTGCCTGGCCTCTTTAATGAGAGTGGGGAATGGATAACTGAGGAGAGAGGAAAGGCTGGCATAGCCATTGATTTTTACCAGATTCTCTTCTCCTCGGAAAACCAGGTACCTAGCATGACTGAACGTGTAGCTGAGCTTCCTATAGCTTGTCGAGTTACTGATGCCATGAATGCCAGTCTTACGGTAGAAGTCATTCCTCGTGAAATCCGGCAAACTATCTTCTCCATGGGTTCAAAACAGGCTCCAGGGTCGGATGGTTTCATGGGAAAGTTCTTCAAAATCTTCTGGGATATAGTCGGGGATCTTGTGACTGTTGCGGTCTGCTTCTTATTTTCCACAAGCCAAATGCTCCGTCGCTTTAATCATACTTGGTTAAGGCTGATCTCGAAAGTGGATAACGTGGAGAACATGAGGCAAATAAGACCTATTAGCTTATGCTAGTTTGTCTATAAAATTATAACCAAGATTATGGTTGAAAGATTGTCATGTCTGTCGCTGCAGATCATCTCGGAAGGCCAAAATGATTTCATTAGGGAGAGGCAAATAGTGGAGAATGTCCTTCTTGGACATGAGTTAATGCACTACTCGAAAATCAAAATGCGGGACAAGAAAGGGTACATGGCTCTAAAGGTTGACATGAAGAAGGCCTATGATAGAGTTGAATGGCCTTTTCTGCTTGCAGTTTTGGACAAGATGGGTTTTAACTCGATTTGGCGAGGCTGGGTACACGAGTGTCTCAGATCGACATCATTTCTCGATCTTGATGAATGGCACACCTTCGTGGTTCTTCACTCCCTCGAGAGGACTCCGACAGGGGGATCTGCTCTCTCCTCTCCTATTTGTAATTTGCACAGAGGATTTTGCGGCTCTCCTGAGGAAGGCCATTTCATAATTCCCAGGTCTTGCCAGAAACTGGTGAACTTTTGATTGAGGAACTTATTTTCCAAGGGGAATGAGGATGGTGTGATTTAAAATTAAACCAGTGGTTTGACCCGCCTACTTATCGTGCGATCAAAGAAATACCTCTTCCTAGACATAATGTTGAGGACTGTTTAGTCTGGCATGATACGTCGAACGGGTCTTTCACTGTTAAACCATCGTACCGCTTGGTTGTTTTGTTGGATTAAGGGAAGGGTCAATGGCGATCCACGGCTAGTTGGATGGATAGGGCCAGCTGGATTCGGCTTTGGGACGCTGATATTCCCCCGAAGTTAAAGTATTCCTTTGGCAAATTTTCAATCGTATCCTTTCTACGATGGAGGCTCTTATTGAGAAGGATGTCCAGGTCCATCCAAGGTGCCCAGTTTGTTGGGCGGAATCGAAAACTATGGAACATTTGTTTCTTGACTGTCTAGTGGCTAGGGCCTTGTTTGATTATGCGGGGCTTGAATATCTTGACCAAGGGCTGCCTCGTCTCACTTTTCCGTTATTCCTGAGAAAGTTGATGATGCTGATACATCAACCTCAACTGTTTATGGCGGTCACTGCAATCCTTTGGAGGATCTGGCGATCACGAAACTGGGTTGTCTTTGAGGGCAAACTGTTTGGGATCCCAGCGTTAATGCGACAATTCCACCAGCAGTATCAGGAATGGGTCAATTTGCCTATTGATAGGGCCAAGCAGTTGCCCGTCCCTCTCGTACAACCAGTGGAGATTGTTCACCCTAGTCCAATTGTCTGCAAGTGGGATGGGGCAACCAAGCTTCAGTCCCTTTCGGCAGTAGGTATGATCCTCATGAATCAAGCTGTGGAGGTGCTCATGGCTCAAGGGGTACAGTTTGATGGGATTGACGATCCCTTGATTGTTGAGATACTCACCCTTCAGGAGGCTATTCGTTGGTGCTTGGTGACCGGATTTATGGAAGTGTGCTTTGAAGGTGACGCAAAGGTGGTTATTAATAAATTAAACCGGTCGGATACCAAGGATAGTCGGATTGGAGCCTTCTCACGGAAGTTGTACATTGTTTAGCGATTCATAGTGGGCTTAATGTGCAGTTTGTAGGTCGGGGTAGTAATAGGGTAGCCCACTTGGTGGCTAGAAAGGCCCTTCAATTGTACCCGACTACGAATCGTTTCTTTGGTTTTATGGCCTGGTTAAATTTCAAGATGTAATTATCTATTATTTTAATCAATATATATGATTATCTTTTGTAAAAAAAAGCTATAAAACAAGGTTATTAATATCAATATCTTCTTTAAATATTTTTCTTGTCTTGTATATGATATTTGTATCTTTGAAAATTCTTCTACTCTTGGCTTAATTGAGTCCCAAAATTTATTTACATAGATTTTGTGAATATAACTACTTGGCAATTGAGTTCTTGTTTGATTTCATTTGTTTTAATTTTGTTTGACTAATGATCAGTCTCTTAATTTATCAATTTTGTATTCCATTTTCTGTTCCAGTCATCATTTGTTCATCGTTCCTTATTTTCTGTATTACTTTTTATTTTATTAAATTTATAAAAAAGTTGGGCCTCATTTTGTTTCTAGAACAAGGCATCCAATATTCTAGGGTCGGCCCTGAAGAGGTCGACCATATTAGTGAAGAGGTCAACATTTTTGTCCAAATCATGGTGACCTACAAGCCGCCGTAGCAAAATCCAAAAAGTAATTATCATTATCTTATTTAAATTAACTTATTCTTGTGGGGATCTCAATCAAATATGGAAAAAATAACTATATTTTTCTCTTCATAAAATTTTATCCAACATATTCGTCAGATAGAGAACAGATTGTCGAAGTCGTCGTTACCCTCGACAGTGCTAAATTACTTCACTTTGAACAAATCATAACAATGCTATCAACACAACGCAATACTTTCACTATCACTGCAATCGTATGAAAGTTGAATTTGTTTCTTTAATCATCAGTTTAATATGTGTTCTGATTTTTGGCAATATTCATCCAAGGTAGAAAGCTCTCAAGCCCAACTGTTAGGCCCCAGAACGCGATAGCCCACATTGTTTATTTTGTTTCGAAAAGCCTAGAATTTTGAGCCCACAACATCATCGGGCTGATCTGACCCACCATGATTGTACAAACTACAAAAATGACTAGAGACCCGTCGAAGTTAGTTCCGAACAGCTCAAATGGCTTCCAAGCTACTTTCCCTCCGACGGCTCTCAAGGCTTCGAAACCCTTACCTCCCTTCTTCTTCGATTTCTTCACGGATCCTGCTTTTGCAAGCTACCAACTCCCGCTGTTCTCGTTTCGACTTCAAAATCGCTGATGTTTCAGCTTCCTCCAGGAGTTTCTGTTCTAGCTCTTCTGCTACCGACGTCCAGGGCCCCTCGGCCATTGACTACCGGTACGTCTCCGCCAAGTGCCGAATTCTTGATCTTTTAATTGGTTCTATTTCCGTGTATTTTCTTTTCTGAAGGAAGAATTGGTTGTTCTAGCTGGTAGTGATTAATGTGGAAACAGCTCTCTTCTGCAGGAAAACGAATTTCATGAGTTAGCTGATTCGACTATTCACGACCTTCAAGAGAAATTGGAGGTAATGACCAAATGGGTGCAGCACTTTCTTAGGGGCATTCACTACCATTTACACGATTTCGTTGAAAATTGATCTTCAAGTTTGGCTATTCTGGCGTTTGGCAGGAATATGGGGATACAGTTCAAGTAGATGGATTTGATATAGACTATGGGGTAAGACTGATTCAGAAATGGGTTTTCTGAAGTGTTGTTTGAGCGCTTGTTATGTTCTGAAAGAGTTGCTTGTGTATATGGTAGAATGAGGTTCTGACCCTGAAGCTTGGGGAGCTAGGCACCTATGTGTTGAACAAACAAACTCCCAATAGGCAACTTTGGCTGTCATCCCCTCTGAGGTATGAACAATGTTGCTTTCTGTTTTGTCTTGGATTGAGTTCATTCTTTATGAAGAAGTCTTGATATGTGACCTCTGTTGCATTGCGTAATTGTGTTTTGTGTTCACTTTTCGGTTTGTTTAGTGCCAGTATATCCATTACTTTCAAGGTTCTCTTGTTTCTTTTATATGTTTGTTTCTTGGAATGCTGGGAACACTGGAACTTGTCAACGAATGTTGGCTTGTGTTCTATATTACATATGTTCTATAATCAATACCTCTATTTGCTTCTCTGGAGAACTGGCTGCAGTGTAGTGATTGTGCTCTAATTTGGTTGATTTTTATTGAAGGAGTGATTAGAAACCTGATATTCCCAGAATCAGAATGACTAATATAGCTGGGAAACCTTTTCTTGGAGTGAATATTATTTGTCCAAAGCATGACAAAGATGGCTGTGACTTTTTCAAAGTAGCATATGTTGTGGAAAGCAACTCATGAATTTCCAAGTATATGAAAGCTTAAATAACCAGGGCAATGAAATACAAGAATGAGACCAGTTCCTGAGACCATCTCCACCTTGCTGTTAAAGTTTTAGTTTCTTTGTTTATTCCATACAGATGCTACCTTTAGTTGAACGGTGTGGTAAATTGGTCCAGGACATAGAACTAAGCTCATACAGATATCTCCAGATATGCATTGGTTCCATTACATTTTGAATTTCAACATTGGACTTAGTGAAGTTTATTTGTTTCACATTTGCTTAATGTTGGACTTAATTTTCAAGCGTGTCTTCTGATGGAAGTTATGTGACTGGTCAGAATCAAGAAAGTAAAAACCTTGTTTACAGTTGTGGTCCTTTTTCTCCACCCAAGCATAGGAGAACTAGGTATTATACTTCTGTGCTTCCTTAGTCACCATTAATGGAAACTGGTGACAGCTTTAGTTGGTGCGCTTATTCAACACAACATTGATTGTGATTAAGTAGAGCATCTTTGGTTTCTGCATCCTATGCTAACTGGTTGCCCACTTTTCTGTATCTGAATCCCATATGCAACTCATGGTATCAAAGGGAGTTTCTTCAGGCTAAAAACTTCCCCTTGCATCTTCAACTAATGCTCAACTCTTGGTTCTCATGCAGTGGTCCGTCGAGATTTGACTGGGACCGGGATGCTGAAGCCTGGGTTTATCGTAGAACCAAGTCGAACTTGATCGAAGTTTTGGAAAGTGAGCTAAAGCAGTTGTGTGGTGAACCCATCAAGCTAACTACATAAACAAGTGGTTAGACCAAGACTTCGCTCCTATATCACAAACTTTCTCGTCCAATCCTTATATCATGTACTGTTATGAACCAATCGCCCGTTAGTATATTCTCAAGGGGTCGTTTGGATAAGGGATTGTAATGAGAGATTTGTGAGAGATTTTAAAACAATCCCTCATTATGCAGGATTTTAAAACAATCATGCGTTTGGGAAGATGAGAGTTTTTTACCATTAGAGATTTTAAAAACCTTCAAATGTGGGTTTTTGAAATAACTGATCACCATCAGCTATTTCACAATCCCTCATTATTTTTATTTCTTTTCCCTAATTATCCCTTCCCTAACCCAACTCTTGCCTTCTCGTCCATCTCTGTCACTCTGTCCCTTCCAAATCGTCAAAATCCAGTCCCCGTCGACCAATTAATTCCGTTCATCCCTCCGAAAATCGCCATCCACAAAAGCCTCTTCATCCGACACAGTTCTCGGCCAGTAGAGAAAGCTCTACCGCCATCTGACTTGTCTCTCTCTGTATATGGAGGCTCGGTTTTAGATCGAGGGAACTGGTTCTCCTCTGCCCATTTCAAATCGACCCCAAAAAGCCCTGATTCACAGCTCGAATCTCCTCTCGACTTCCTTCTCAGCCCTCCATACTGTAAGTGTTTGAGTCCCTACAGGTTGATTGTGTCAGCGCTGACTTGTGGTTTCAATCTTCATCGGTTCCCCTTTCAATTAAAGATCTATCCGCCTTTGATTGTGTCGGCGCTGGCTTGTGGTGGTCAATTTCATAATGGTTGAATGGGTTCTGGATTTAAAACCAGCAACACAGAAGAACATGCCCAGCTTATAAGACTTGATTTGGTTGAAGCAGATCGAGATATGCACAGTAGCATATGGGTGGAAAAGGTGCTTGCTTCATTTGGGCATGAAAATAAAAAATGAAAAGACGAACAAGGAACTGGGGAAGGAGACAAGGATAATAATGTAATTTAGAGTTAGATGTTAAAATTTCACTTCTTGGTCCAAACAAGTTATTTTAAACAAATCCTGTATATAAATTTTCAGGTATTTTAAACAAGAGATTTAGGCTTAAATCCCTCGATATTAAAATCTCTCATCAAAACGGCCCCCAAGAGTTTTGCTTCGAAGGTTATGCCGTGTTTCTTCTATAAAGAAAAGAGAGCTTGTGCAATTACTAGTGCTCGTTTTGTGGGGTAGACATAGTATGCAAAATAATTGGGCTGTTTTTTGCTAGACACAAAGAAATTTATCTCGAAACAGTACCATAAGCATCGAATCGACTGCATACAGCGGAAATCTCAGGTCTCAACTACCATTGATGGTGGTTAAGCATATACCCAAATCTTTTAGTTGATGGGTACATAAGATAACATAACATTCATGGTTCTGAATCAAAGTGGAGACAATGGTAACTGGTAAGGTGGGTTTCAGTTGGAAAACAATTGATTTCCTTGTTTGTGAAACTTGCTGGGAGAAAGTGGCTGGTTGAATGCTGGTGGTGGTGGGTGATAAGGAACTTTTGTAGTTGACATCATTGTCATAATACTCTGTTAAAATATATGGTAATAACAGTCATTAACAGAGATGCCAACTGATTTGGGGAATTGACTTTCTTACTTGGAATGGAACCGAGTCGTCGTCCTCCTCACACTCTGCAATGCGGACCACAAACGCCCACATGCTAATCCAAATTAATAACCCATTCTAAATTGCTTAATTACAACTTGCCGCCAAATCCAAATCCAAATCCAAATCCAAATCCTCGAAGAAGACAAGCTAATCGGGTGAGAGAGAAATGAGGACGAGGATGAGTGGTTGGGCTTTGGGCTAAGCTAACCGAAAGTAGTCCCAATGATTGTGGATCCAAGCTTGGATTTATATCGTTAAATGCATGGTGGGAATTAAACCTAATATTTCTATTTCTTTCAAGTTACCATCCCACCATGATTGTATATCATATGTTCGAAATGTGGGGTCAAAACGATCTCGAAATAAAACTAAAATACCAAGCTTGTTAATTAATCTATGTTAGAATTGTAGGGTCAAAATGAACGGTAAAGAAACAAAGAACATAACAATAATCACGACGACGACGATGATAATAATAATAATAATAATAATAATAATAATAATAATAATAATAATAATAATAATAATAATAATAATAATAATAATTAACAATAATGGGTGTGCTTCTTTCAAATTTTGCTAAAAACTAATAAGTAATTCCATTTTAATTCCAGGAAAAGAAGCTAAGCTTGATTGGGTTTGTTTTTCTTTTTCAATACTCAGCAAACCTTAACCTCACGTGCCACTTTGTGACAGGACCTGCTAAATTTTAGGGTTATCTGCAATCAATTTGACGCCAATGGGGCTTCATCCCCTACAGTCTTATACCTTCGGGAACACCAACGGGCCTCGGTTGGATTGGAACCTGGGATCTGCAACTCCCAAACCTTCACTGTAGCGGCAGCTTTACCGTTGAACTATCTTACCTTCGGGTTTAAGGTGGGGAACTTGATGATATTCTATACACTTGTATTAATAATTAGACAAATAATTGAGACTAAAGAAATGAATAAGTTTTGAAAAATGGTTTTCATAATTAGAGTTGAACCTTCAAATAGATAGAACATACACTCCCCTCCGGTGTCTAATGAAAAGTTGATAGCTATTACTATCCAGAGGTCCAAAGTCGAAAATCAGTTTGAACTCGGTAATATATGAGCTAAACGAAAAATACATATATGATATATGTGTGTTTATGTTTATGTTTTGTGGGGTAAGCCACAATGTTCATCTCTCCATACTCCATAGACATGAATGATTAAGTTACACTCGAATTCTGTGTCTTCCTCGAGAACTAATTGGATGATATGATCATAAATTTTAGGGTTAATCCCAGCCCAAATTATTAAAAATATCTATTTGTTTACTAAATATTCAATATGACAAATCTGATTCAGACTATGTATGTTTTGTGATATTTGTGTTCTAAACTATTCAATATGACAAATTTGGTCCAAACCAAATAGAAGCTGACTACATTTTTTGTGATCTACTAACGGTCAACGTCGGTCAACATTAACAAACAAAAAATAGTTTGTGTCAGATTTGGCATATTTAATAGTTTAGGAAAAATAATACTTTTTGAATAGTTTGAATTTCTAGTGAAATTAGCTCTAAATGTTACCAAGTAACTATATGTTAATAATTTATCTATATTCTATGCAAATACAACAAGTAACTGAATTTACTTAAAACTTAAATAAGGCACTTCACAAACTAATTCTACTGGTCTAGTTGATCTGAGAGTTAGATATGTACTCAAAACTATTTACAATATCAAATCGGTGCAGATCATATGGTTTTTGCCGACATGAATCAACTAAGTAACAATATCTATTAAGGATACCTCTCAGGAGCGTGGTTGCGTTCACTCTGCAGTAACTTCGATTTTAACTACCTCCACAATTATTTTCATGACCATGTATGTCAACACTTATACCTAGATCTCAGGTATACTCATCGAACTCATGGCAGTAGGCGTTTGCCACCGATAGCCCTATTTTTGCCTATCAAAAGAGTTCTTCTCGTTATGATAGATTATAAGAATCAAAGCCGAGATCACACCGTACGTATTAACCTTCAAACAATCTATTTATTTTTTTTTTTTGGAGAAACAATCATACCATTCTACGTACTTTTTTTTATCATAATCAGATGAAATAATAGACAGATATGATTACAATGAGTAAAAGAAACGTCAGTCGATACTAATCGAACTGGCGATGAAAGAGCCCTTTATGCCACAAAATGGGCAGCTCTGTTAGTTCCCTAGGAAAATAGCGAAAAAAACACTAAAAATCCATAAAAAAGGATATGGCTTCACTCTGTCAAGACCAAGCCGTTAAGGTGACCGAACCACCCATGCTGAAATTGAAGCAGAGAAGCAATCCTTGCAGTTTTGGCAGGAGAATCACCTGCAAAATTAACAAACAAATGGTGTCTCCAATAGGACCAAGGATTTCGCACATACACCACAGACAACAATATTAATAAGAAAACAATATTAGACAAACTGATTAATCTGGGGGTGAACACCAGTTGTAATCAATCGCCAACTACACGAATCATGTGTTGATATAATAATAATCCATGCCGTTAACTGCATTGAAGAAGACAAATGAGAGAGTGGTCGATCAGTAGTGAGATTGAAAAGGTATTTAATTTCCATGGGAGGAGAGGAGGAACAAGAAGAAAGAAGTGAACAGGTCACTTTCCCTCCAGATCGTGGGAGATCCTGTTTCGGTAGAAAGGATCCCATATGCATCGGTCAAAAAGAGTCCCCCACCCCCAGGCCCAAATTCTGTTTGCAGTAATTAAGTAGGGCTGTAACTAAATATGAATGATAAGAATAATAACTTGTAACGTACACAGTTATTTATTTACGGGCTGTTTTATTTGTTGGATTTGAATGATGGATTTGTGACTCAAATTTCAATCATGATGGATTTAATCAACTTCATTGTTAGTTACATTCAAAAATCGGAAATAAAATTCATGGAATTTTGACAACTTTTTTAGATTCAAATTCATGAACTGGATAGATTTGTAAATCTCATCTTCTATTTGACACACGCTTAATAAAAAAGCTATAAATCATTAATATAAATACTAACGAATAACTTTTTCAAATTCATAATACAACGAATCCATCATAAAACCTTAAAAACTATAAATCTTCATATTTTCAAGGGTTAATATTTTTGTATGACCTGAATTTTGACCAAAATAAACATCCTGGCCTATCTTTTCGATCTATAACATCCTGGCCCGAACTATACACCAAAATAAACAATTTGGCCAGATCCGACTTTTGACCGTTAACTTCGACGGTCAAACGCGTTGACCAATCTGACTTTTGACCGTTAACTTCGACGGTCAAACGCGTTGACCGTTAGTCAACGCGCCATGTCGCTGCCAACTCAGCAAGTTTCAATTATTATTTTTTTAAAATTTACACCTATTCCATTTTCTTTCCTTTATCATTTTCGGGACAAGGGGGTCGTGTGTTTTGTCCCGAAAAATTGATTTTTTTTCCCGTCAAAATGATAAAGGAAAGAAAATGGAATATGTGTAAATTAAAAAAAATTAATTGAAACTTGCTGAGTTGGCAGTGACATGGCGCGTTGACTAACGGTCAACGCGTTTGACCGTCCAAGTTAACGGTCAAAAGCCGGATCTGGCCAAATTGCTTATTTTGGTGTATAGTTCGGGCCAAGATGTTATAGATCG